GGTGGAGGCCACACCTCAGGAGGTGCCCGTGGTCCTTCATCCATTGGGAGGTCAAATGGGTTAGGGGGAGTCACCTCAAGGTGGCACCACGATGACATCACCCGAGCGTCTTCTTCGTGCAGACACTACCCTTAGCTAACTCTTATGTCAATGACGAATTAAAAAGAGAACAATTCCCACTCCTCCTTGCTCATAAACCACCAGTACATGGCCCAGCTATTGGCCACGGGGAACAAAATTAAAAATGTTTCTAGTCGGATGAATTTGGTCGCTCCTGTAGTGGCCCATATCTTTCCAAAAATAGCAGCTTGCTAACGAGCACAACTTTAGGAAGTACTGGTGGCCCAAATAGACCCAAATCCCAACAATTTTGAGTTTTTCCACAACCTCAAAAATAGGACATCCCCTCAACCGGAAGGTTTAGGGTGGGCAAAAGTTAAAATAAAAAAAAACTTAAAAAAGGATAGGTTTTATAATCTGAGCAGGTTTTGCAGCAACCGGCTGACAGGGTTTAGGGTTTAAGCAAAGACCAGCGGACCAGCGCAAGAGGCCGAACGAGCACTTCAAGCAGGTACGAAAACTTCGATAGTCAAGGAGGTGAAAGGAACATTGTGGTCCTGTCTCTTATACACATCTAGATGTGTATAAGAGACAGCTCTCTCTCTCTCTCTCTCTCTCTCTCTCTCTCTCTCTCTCTCTCTTCGTCGTTGTCTTCTTTGCAGGTACGCGGCACTTTTCTTCGATGGCGCAGCTATGGCGGACCTTCCTCCTTCGATGGCGCGGCTACACCCATGGCGCCCACAGAACGATGGTGCGTAGGATAACAGGAACCTGCTCTGATACCAATGCATGCAAACAGATAGGGAAACAGAACTGGCGCCAGTGCGCCCACTCAAAGCTCAGAGATATGGTAACCGAGAACACAGTTCAGATGCAAAACTTGCTTCAACAGGCTATGGCGCCCAAGCGCCTCAACAACTCATTGTTGACACTGTCCTCCACACCACCGTTCGCACACACTCAACTCTGGATCACCCTGAATATCCCACGCTCACAACTCAGTACAAAACACTTACACACACACACTGAACTCTGTCTTCTACACTACAGCGGCCATGGCCGCGCTACTACTACTGGCTATGGACGAACTCTCTCCCTTCAGCCCACTTCGACTTCAGGCCTCGGCAGACCACCTCACACAAAACGCCTGCCATCGCTTTCGCATGGCCCCCGCAGGAATGAATGAATGGCTGGACGCTGCCTCTTGATTTAGACTTCTGTAAGTCGCTGGTCTGCCCCTTTCCACCGGGCCCATGGTGCACACAGTCCCTCATGGTACTTGCTGACTGGACAAAGTAGACTGGTACTGGGTACCGCTGACTAAGCGGAGTTGGACTCACCACTTGCCCACTTGCCTCTGGCCTGCTGTGAGTAACGTGAGGAGAAAACTCAAAAGGCCACTTCCGGACCTTCCAGAAGTCCCGGAAGTCTGTGGACTTGGCCTTTGGGGACTGTGGCAGCTACGACCTTGACATTTTAGGACTGTAGCAGGCTACAACCTTGACCTTTCAGACTTTCTACAGCTACAGCCTCTACCCAACTACGGCCCTACTCGACAGACCTACAGATCGAACCCCTACAGCTACACGGGCCTACGACAGGCAACAGGCAACTACCAAAACATAGATCACGGGTTCAAACACACAGGGGTCGACTCGATACTGTACAGGGGTGTGCTAGGGTCTAGGGATTGAGTCCTGGGATCTGCATCTGCTACTGCTAACGTGAACAAACGTTTCATACTACCCCTATTGTCTTTTAATATTCCTTTGCTATTTTTTCTGCTATATTAAAAAACTAACAATACGATATTATACACCTATTATTGAATTTATTGTAACATTAGATTAACACTCGATGACCCGTTGCGGCTTCGCCCGCAAAAACAGAAAAAGAAACAAGCACAGAAGAAAGAAAATGCATAAGGAACTGCCCTATCATATGCCACTTCTTTCACAATAAGAAAAACAAGAGCCTGAGAGCAGACGAAAACCAGGGAATACCACCAAACATTCTTTTGTCTTTATCTTTGCGTGTTTTGTTTGGGGAACCGTTACCTTTGCAGCATCGTTTTTGTTTTGTGCTGTGCAAGAACTCTGGACTTTTCTGAGAAAATTCAGTCCGTCGTCCTGTTGACGTTTTTGGTAAAGATTCAGAATCCGACTTTGTTTGCTGTGTTCTCTTGTGATCAAGCGATCTTGCATGTATGTATGACCCGTGCTTGTTGATTTTTGACGCTATGTGTGCAAGTGCATGCGCGTTTGGGCTAGTCTTAGTTTGGTGGGCTCCGATGATGTCAGTGATGATTGGCCCGGGGAAGTTGTTGGAAGGTGCCTCCAACTATAGGAGTGCCACTGATGTTAAGCAGGTTTTGCATTGTATGAATGAAACAATCAGCATTCAATCTGCTCTTCAGGTGGGGGACTTATCCGGAGTAGCATTGACATGAGAGCCATAATGCCGGGTGTGCATCTTGGAACATTTCCAGGAAGGCAAAAGGCAAAAATGAAACATAGCACGTGTCAGAGTGGACAGCTTGGCACAGTCCCCCCCCCTTTTCTCTCTCTCTCTCTCTCTCTCTCTCTCTCTCTCTCTCTCTCTCTCTCNAACATTGTGGTCAGGTCCTAAGTAGACAAGCTATAAGCACCGCACCTCGAGAGATGTTTTCCAAAAAAAAAAAAAAAAAAAAAAAAAAAAAAAAACAGAGAGAAAGGCAGCTAGTAAGCAAACAAGCTTAGAAGAACAGAAGCAGAGTAGTTCAAGCTAACTAAGGCAGGGGTGAGGGGTGGTACCTCCTCCCTTCAGGATGTAATCAATGCTGACGGTCGGGCCTTGCCACCATAAGGGGGAGGAGCGTGTGTGAGTACTCATTGGAACTCTTTCTGACTACCGTCTTCACCCGAATAGAACGCCCATTCATTATCACTGCATCTGGACTGAAAACCGCCCCAAATACAGCTATAACGACCGCGCGTTCTATTTGGGTGAAGACGGTAGCCGGTGGAATAGGAACCGGACCGATGCTCCCCAGAATGGAAAAGGAGCCAGAACCCTAAGGTTCTGTTTTACTCAAAAAAAAAAAAAGGAGAACTGGTGAGAAACATGCACGGAAGGTGTGGGCAATTGTATGAAGGGAAAAAGAAGGCCAAACTACAAGAAAGACAAAAAACATACTCGTCAGCGAATGCAGCATACATGGCTTCTGCCTCCTCCATCTTCCCCCAAGTACAGCATATGGTCATTATCGCCGTATGTACAGCGATAACGACTCTTCATTGTACGTTGGATCACTCCAATGGTTCGCTGTTCCAAGGACACTCAAAATTGAGGACGAGGAAAATGACACTTGGACGTAATGTGAAGACAGCAACATCAACCGCAGACAAAAGCAACGATGGAATCATAAAGAGGTTAAAATCACACAAGCTGTGTTACGCCCATCGATAATCAACATTCATACTGTAGTATAACAAGTATATTGATCCTTCAACAAACGTAAAGGAAACCGATACTGACAAGCTGCACACGGTTCATATTGCCATCCAATTTCAAAGATTGCAGGAGCTACGCATACAAATGGACGGATGCGACACAGTTAGTGCAGCGGGTAGACTGGACGGTTATCTGTAAAGCTTAAAAGACGACTTGCGACACACAGATGCAGTGAAGCACAGTATCTTCCATTCATCGATAATACAGTAAACAAGTCTGCATGTGCCCTTCACGTGTATGTGGATGTGCGTTCCTGTGAGCAGGAGTGTCTGTTTGTGAAGCACAGTATCTTCCATTCATCGATAATACAGTAAACAAGTCTGCATGTGCCCTTCACGTGTATGTGGATGTGCGTTCCAGTGAGCAGGAGTGTCTGTTTGTGTGTGCGCCTGCGAGTAGGCATGCATGCATGTTGTGTTTGAGTTGTGTGTGTGTGTGAGTGTGCATGTGCACGTCCATGTCCACCTGCGTGTGTTTGTGTGCATGTGTGCTTGTGCGCATGAAGATGCCGTCATGAGTGTCTTTCGTGCGTGTTTGTGAGCTCGAGCAGTCGCTCGTGCACGTTGTGCCTGTATTGTGTGTTTGTTTGTGTGCATGCCGTGTGCGTGTGCATGTCCATGTGTCTGTGCTTGTTAACCATGTGCCTGCTTCTGCATGCAGCCATATGTCCTTCATGTGCGTGTTGTTTACTGCAATGTGTGTTTGTGCGCACATG